ATGTGGGTGAACTATACAACTTCTGATTCAAATCCTGTTTTATCTATATCCACTGGGGGAGATTGGTCCCTTCCCAGATTTTACAGTTATCTTAATATTAAGTATTTCAATCAGCTCTGACTTAACTATACTACCACCTATAAAAAAATAAATAAGTAAATAAAAAGAAAAAAAACTTGAAAAACATTTCCATGATATTGGAACCCTCATGCACTACTAATGAGAAATGAAAGGGTACAGCCTCTTTGGAAATCAGACTTCAAAAATTTACACATAGATTTACTATATGACCCACCAATTCCACTCTTGTATATATATTCAAGAAAAATGCAAACGTGTCCACACAAAAATTTATGCACAGAGGTTCATAAGAGCATTATTCATAATAATGGAAAAGTGAAAATGATTTCAAATGTCCGTGAACTGATGAATGATTGAATAAAATGTAGTATGTCTATACGATGGAATATTATTTGACAACAAAAAGGAATGAAGTGCCGATTTATGCTACCACATGGGTGAGCCTTGAAAACTATATTGAATTTAAAAAGCTGATCACAAAAGACCACATATTTGTGTAATTCATTTATATGAAATGTTCAGAATAGGCAGATATATAGAGATGGAGAGTAAATGAGTGGTTGCCTAAGATAGGGATGAGTTGGGAGGAAATGAGGAGTGACTGATAACAGGCTTGGGATTTCTTTTTGTAGCAATGAAAATGGTCTCAAATTGATTATGGTGGTGGTTGCACAACTCTGAATATACTGAAAACCACTGTATACTTTAAATGGGGGAATTGTCCGTATGTAAATTATATATCAATATAGATTTATCGCATAAATGTACATCTATACACACATATGTGTATGTGTATATACACATATATATGACATCTTCACACAAATTTATCATTTTACCTAGACTAAAAATGAATGAAATCTCGTAAGCTATCCAACTATTTCTCTACTGCCATTGTTTTCTTTGACTCCTTAGCAATAAACCATGAGCTTTTTTTTCTTTCTCTCTCTCCCTTTTAATTCTTTTATGGAACCTATCATCCAGTATTGTTTATTCCTTTGGTAAATACTTTGTAGGAACTTAAGGTAAGTTGACAGGTGAATAGCATCCCCAGGAAACTCTGTCGTCTAAATTTCATGTCCTATAAAATCAATTTTTAAAATTTAAATTCTATAGCACAAAATAATCAAATAAAAGAGTATATAGGTGAAACTTAATTTGGGAATATATTTCATATAAGAAACAAAGATCACAGAAAATAACTAAACTTTAGTATCAGTCAGTGTTTCTAGCTCTAAGGAGCTGAGAAGGTCAGTCAGTAACTAATAATCCCAACAACAGCCATCAAAAAAGTTCAGTGAAAGTTATCAAGAAAATCTTAATATTTCATCTAAATGGGGAAAATAGAATACTTAAACAATGAAATATTCTTATAACCCAAATATGAACAATTTCAAAAATTATTTAACTTATTTAATGACAGTTCGAACAAGTGGAGATCCATTTAAAAGAAAATGAAGACAAAATATTTTAAATGTGTATTCTCCAAATTGATTTAAAGAATTAATGCAGTTCTAATCAAAATCTCAGTATGATTTTTTGGCTTTCAAATCTAGGGGGAAAAAAGGAAAGTAAAATTCAGGAGAAATAAACAAGCAAATCTGTATCTTTTTAATTTGGAAAATTAAGGGGAAAACTGGAGCAGCACGTTTCACACTTGGACATATCAAGCTTCTGTTATAAGGACCAGGAAAGTCTAGTGTAAGACAGGAGAGCATGTAAAGGCAGTGATAAATGAGAGAGCAGGTATGCTCCCTGTCTAGCAGCATTCTAGTCAAATCTTTGAAAACAGTATGTGTTTGGTGGCTCAGTCCATTGAGCATCCCTCCCTTGTTTTTGGCTTAGGTCATGATCTCAGGTTCCTGAGATAGAGCCCTGCCTCAGGCTTTGAGCTCAGCAGGGAATCTGCTGGAGATTCTTTCTCTCTCCCTCTCTCCCTGCCCCTCCCCCCTTTCTCTCTTGGGAATCTTTAAAAAATATATAAAAATAAAATAAAAAGTAAAATAAAAACAGTATACATTTGCCATGCTTTTTATCTTCCTAAGCTCTTTTTGAACCGATCACATTTTTGGTGGAATATTATTCACCATAATGTCTAGAAGAATTATACATGGAAGTTATTGATGGTTTTAGCCACAGTTTGTTATGATTACCATTATCTTGCAGTAATTCTTAATGAGGGGGTGGATATTTGATAGTTATTGGGTTGTTTTTTTTTTTCAAACTATAATTCTCCATGTTTTATAATGCTCTCCCTGATGAAGAGCATTTATCTCCCTGAGATGCATTGCCTCAGTTAACCACAGATTAGAATAGGGTTTATTACCTCTTATATGTTTTTGTGGAGACAAATGTGTGATCTAAAGTGAAGGAGAATTTTTTTTTAATGTATTTGATTAATGTAGTCAATCAACAGCAGCCTCCATGATTTCTAGTTTTTATTCTGTGGATCGGAAATCTCAGTCACCAAACTGAAATCTATCACTGCATTTCTGACATTCCTCTAAGACGGAGAGTCTCTGTCAATTCCTGTCACTGTAGCTCTCCCTGCCACACCTCATCCTGCAGTTTGCTGGAGCTCTCACTGGAGACAGAATGGACATTTTGACAAACCAAGTTCAGGACTTGACTGTCAATATCCTCCTCTCATTCTGCTGCCTCTTTGATATCTCCAGTCCCCCTTAGGGACATACACACTGTGATCTCGTGCTACCTAAAGTATCCTGTTGAGCACTCTTGAAGTTATGTGCTTATCCCAAGAACAGAGGCAAATGTGACATTTAAGAGGACTTTTTACTTCAAACTAAATGTAAGGTGACAGTTTCACAAGCAGTTACTTGTCAGAGTTTAATCACTAAAATCTATACACTTTTTTTTCCAGGTTTAGTATACGGAGACCTTCTTTGAGAAAAATATTCTGATACACTTGAAAACACTTCACATTTGGAGTCAAAATGCCCCTGGCCTTGCTATTTACTAGCTGCATGTGTTTGAGCAAGTTACTCAGTCTCCTCTGCTTGTTTCTTTGATTTAAAAATATGAATATGTTGGCATAGCACCTACCTTTAAATTCCCGTAGTGACATGGTTGCATAAATGGAGATGATGTATGTATGAATGCATGTTAGTTATTATATGTGGTAAAAGTCCTGTTCCTTGATTAGACACGAAATCAATATTATTTTATATGCTGAGATTATTTGGAACCAATATAAAGTCAAAGATTTTTATTTTCATTTACATAATCGATAAAGTTTCAAACCAATTCATTTGTAATGACACAGGACCTTAAAAATAAAAAGTGATTTTGCAATCAAGTATGCTGCATAGGTAAGCATTAGGTGTTTTCATAATTAAGATAGCCTAAAGTTTTTATTAAGTTGCATTACACATGGACTGCTACAAGGGCACAGTCACTGTCTTACTTCTTTCATAACAGTGCTTTTAGTATTCCACTGAAACATGGCCAGTGAATGCACAATATTCTTAGTTACCATTATGAGGGGCTCTGTATATTCCCATGTCTCCACTGTGTCTGCTGTTAGCTAGAAAAAGGCTGGGAGCAACAACAACTACTATCAACAGGGAGCCATATTAATTATTTGAAATGTGCCTCATAAGAGGAATCAGCAGAGTTTATTACAAGTCAAATATTACTTGAAACAGGAAGGTTACTCTAACTGTTATCATAATCCATGTATCATTAACTTTCCTTGTTTAGGAAAAGAGATTAACAACGCTGTAAATTGCTATAGTAAATGTATAAAATATAACGGCATATTCCCATTGTAGAAAGAAATTGGTGGGTCCTCTGCTTCTACCCAAACCTTTTTTTTTTTAGAAATAGTTTTAAAAAGTAGCTTTAGGGGCGCCTGGGTGGCTCAGTTGGTTAAGCGACTGCCTTCGGCTCAGGTCATGATCCTGGAGTCCCTGGATCGAGTCCCGCATCGGGCTCCCTGCTCGGCGGGGAGCCTGCTTCTCCCTCTGACCCTCCCCCCTCTCATGTGCTCTCTCTCTCTCTCTCATTCTGTCTCAAATAATAAAAAAAAAATCTTATAAAAAGTAGCTTTAGAAATTGAACTCTGTGATTATGCCTTCTTCCGTGAAATTCTAATTGCTTACTGAATCATCAGTATACAAAGTATAGCTACTTTGAACATTAGAAATTTTTTTGTTTGTAAGCTAGCAGTTTTTCCAGTCAGCACCTTGGCCTTCAAATCAACATCTTAACTCGTAAAACAGAAAATATGTTACAAAGTATGTGACCTGGCAGAATGGTTTGCAAGGAATAGAAAATGAATTCATCTACCTGCTTTTTATATCCTGGCTAGTTATTGTTTTTCCATAAAACACACTGAGCAGGAAGGAGTAGTTTTCTATTCAAATAATAGAAATAAATTATAAAAAGTAAAAAAAAAAAATTAACCAAAGTTATAAAGTTATTTAAGTAAGTGCTACCCGAGTTTATTTAACATTGATGCCAGTCTGCAGACTGCATATTACTGGTCTGGGACAATGAAATAAGTGCATAAATTGAGAATAAGTGTTTAGAAACACTTTAGCAAATTGATAGGGTGCTTGTAATCTGACAGTAAAAAATGTGGACTTGTATTGTTTATGTCTTTTTTTCTTCCATTTTATTTTTCTTGTAAGTCATTTTCATTGTATTTTTAAAAGTGTAATTCTACAATAAATGTGTAATTTAATGATAAAAAAATAGGTAGTTTTAAGAAGGACTGATTTAATTGTTTGATGTTTGGATGATGCATAATGCTCCTGTGTTTGATTAGCTCTGTCTACGTGGTATAATGACAATTAATTCAGTGTGAAGAAAGATAATATGACATCATAAAAACAAACAAAAAGATGTAAAAAGACATAACTGCAATGTCTGCTTAACATTTATTTTTGGGTCCACAGGGCAGGCACATCATGGACAGGTGTCCTACATCTCTCCACCTATTCACCTTGACTCTGAGCTAGAAAGACCCCCTGTTAGAGGTGAGTTGATTATTATTATTATTATTATTATTATTATTATTATTATTACTACTACTATTTAAAGAAAAAGAAACTTTATTATTTTTGATGAAGACAATTAAAATACGAATAGTTGTAAATACGTATTTTACAATGCAGTGCCTATTTAAAAAGTGGGGAGGGGGTTATAATGTACAAGGAATCTGATAACAGAAAGAAGAAATTTTATTTATAAACTAAAATATGAAATACTGTTCTGAGAAATATTTGTAAAACAAAATAAGAAATAAGGATACGTAGTGATTCAACTACAGGAGGACTATTTGAAAACCAACTTAGATTCAGAGATTACCAGATAACCATTACATTTTATTGGAATTTTCTTCTTCTACTATCCTTTTTTTAAAATAAATTAATATACTTTAAACAAAGTCATATTGACAGATTTATTTCCTTTCAAAGTGATATTTTATATTTTATATTTTCTTTTTAAAGTCGTTTTAGTGTTAATATTAGTTTTAAAAATATATAAATTAAAATTATGATTTAAATTGATGCCATCTGTTTAAAGATTTTTTAAAATAGTCATACAAAATAAAAATTAAAAGTAACATTTATTTTCCCATAATCGACAGAATTTGTCTTTTCACTTTTAAAGAAATACTTATTATTTTCAAAATGTATTATAATGTTCAAAGCTGACTTGGCTGAAGTTAGATGTTTAGTAGGTAGCAAGCTGGTTGGTTTTGCATGGAAGGAAACTCAGTCAATTCTTGGTAGTCACCTTAATGTCATCTGGGATGATGGTCACATGGCTCTCATCATCCAGCAGTCTCGCACAGGCTCATTCCTATTGTGACAGGATTCCCAACAATAGGTAGACAAGTCCTAAAGCTCAAATATTTTTCAAGACTCTGCTTGTGTTCTGTTTGCTGTGTCTCATTGGCCAAAGCAAGTCACATAGCCAATCCCAGACTTAAAAAGGGAGAAAATGACTCTTATTGCTTGATTGAGGAACCAAAATCCAAAGGACCGTGGATACAGATAAGAGGGGAATTGGGTCATTTCAAACTACCATAGCAAGGCAGAAAAGGGTAAAATGAAGTGAGACAAAAATTGACTGATAAAATAAAGAAATTTAAAGCCAATTAACTTAAACTTGGGAGTTCCAGACCTATTTTATCATTGGTTTCCTCAACTAGTACATGGAAGATCAGATATAAGAACTTCACAGTGTCTTTGTGAAGATTAGGGATAATACAGAATAGAATCTGGCATCTGGTAGGCCAGATATAATGTGCTATCCCTATGTACTTTTGGGCTCACTGCTGTAGCATAGGGAAGAAAATTGGACTTTGAAGCCAGGCAGACCTGAATGACCTTAGGCAGCTTCTTTCTGTCGTCTGTAAATCAAGGATAATAACATCACCCCAGCAAGTTTATTAGGATAATTAAGTAAAATAATAAGTGCCAAGTTCCTGGCAAATATGTGACATAAACTAGACCCTAAAGAGTTAGAAGGTAGGTAGGCATTATTAAAAGCTCCACTTTACAATGGCACAATCTTGGTCAAAATAGTGATGGTATTGATCTGGTAAAGAATCAATTACTAGAATCCAGCAGTCATCTCTGCTTGATATCGGCCTCAAATGGTCCTCTCTACCTTAGAATGATTGTCTTGATAACTTCTAGTTTTCATAGCATTCCTCTATATACATCGACCCAGAGCTCTTCCTAAACTGCTCTGTGATTAACGCAATTGCAGTTAGAGTTACTAGCCCATGTGCCACAATTCTGCAACATTCAGAGAACAGTTAAAAAGGTAAAAAAAGAGGTTTGTATAAATTATCATCACATTGAAAAAAATCTTTTGCTTTTTTTTATTAAAACTATCTAAAATTCATTTAAAAACAAATATTGGAAATGAGATAGAGTTGGCATAATAATAGCATTACTCTGGAACCACAGAGTATTTCCTTTCAACTTTCAGCTGTCACCCCTCATCTTCATTTGCTGTTTTTAATTATACGGAATACGGCTGTTGATACTTATATGCAGATGAACTCTACATATGTCTATATCTATATCTATAAATAGAATTTCTCATGGGGCGCCTGGGTGGCTCAGTTGGTTGAGCAACTGCCTTCGGCTCAGGTCATGATCCTGGAGACCTGGGATCGAGTCCCGCATCAGGCTCCCCGCTCGGCGGGGAGTCTGCTTCTCCCTCTGACCCTCCCCCCTCTCATGTGCTCTCTCTCTCTCATTCTCTCTGTCTCAAATAAATAAATAAAATCTTTTTTAAAAAAAAGAATTTCTCATGTATGTTATAGGTTTTTATATGAATTGTAAAGTAATACATCAGGTTCTTTAAATAAAATGGAATTCTAGCTCCAATAACTATTTTTTTTGTGAGATATAGAACAACATCCTTTGAACTCCCTAAAAATTAACATTAGCTAACCATTTTAGCTTTCCTTTTTCTATTTTTCTACTATAATTATATACATAATTATATGAATATATAATTGAGAATATGAAACATTTATCTAGATATTACTGTCTCTCTATATTCTCTCTCTACATATATTCTCTTACTTTCCCTTTCTGTACCAATTTCTACTAGTCTACATGCATGTTAATGTTTTAGGAATTATTGCTTCACGTATTAATTCCTTATGTATTTTATGGACCTGTATTTTTATAGGAATATCATATTTAATTTTCTGACATTCATCAAAGTAACAATACAAAACAACAATGTTTAAAATGTTATCAATATACTTACCAATATTAGCACAGGGAACTTATTGATAGAAAATATTAACTATTTAACATACGGTAACATATCATATTGCTTCAAATATTTTGCCATTTTATTCTGTTCTCATCTGAAATATTTTGGATTAGTTGGTACTTTTATACACACATACATATATATATATATATATATAGTGATTGTGCTTTGAGTATTTGAGATAATGAACTAATTATTGGTAACTTTGGAATTGTGTTGTAAAACTCTATTCTGAAAAATAATTAAGTAAGCATATCTCAAAAAATTACATTTTTTATCACGTTTTCTTTTTTTTTGCGCCCTCAAGTTCTATATCACCAATGAATCATTATGATATTAATCCACATGCCACTATTTTCCCTCCTTTCAATTGTCTTGACTTTTCACTTTTCTTTCATTTTTTTAAGAAAAAATATGACATTGATTCATTTGTTTATTATAATATGTTTCTTCTTTAGTATTGTGCATTTTAATTCTGACCAACATGATCTTAATAACCATATGGAAAATGTAGTAGCAGGTTACCAAATAGCCTTGAATAAAATATTGTGATCTGCATTTCAAAGTAGCAGCAGTTTATAAATTCTGTAGAACTTAGCCACTGATGAGTAAATTTGAGAGATTCTATTCTTTAAATCTAATGTGATCATACATAGCATTTGGTTACATAATTTATGCCTGTGATAGCTTTATATGCATTCTTCAATTTACAGATTTTATTACTGAATGGGGTGTAAATTCCAATAGTTTACTAGTGCATTAATGTCACAATACATTACAAGGTAATTAACCAGACCTGCCACTATAAATAGAAAAATCGTCACAGCCCTCACTATAAACTACTTAATAGAAATAAGATCCTGAATCAGCATTCACCATTATAGTAATTTTTCTTGCCATATGTCTCATTAATCAGGACTTTAAAAAAGCTTCATCTAGAAGCACTATTATTTTTAAACCTTTCATTATTAAAACAAGTTTGTTATAATTTTCTAGTTAACTTAATGGGATTGATTATATATTTTTATGCAAATATGTTCTACATGCTTTTGAGACATATTTCCCCATTTTTTATATTATAATTGGAAATTAAAAACTACTTTGGTAGTTTTGTAGCAGATTTGTAAATAAGCACATTGGAGTTCTTAGCAGGATTCATTAAGAGTCGTAGTTCTGAAGGTCATGTGTCCTCAACAACTATTCTTTATTCCTGACCTTTATTTTCCTCCTAACTACTCAAATGCAAAACCCCTTACCCCAGAGTTATGTTTACTTTACAAGCAGACTGACAAAAAGAAGGTGGTTGGGTGGGAGTTTATGTTGGAAGTTGAATCAGAATCCTAAGAAGAAGTATATATTATTTGAGACTCAAATATATCAATTGAGGCATGCCCTTGAGTTGAGACTGTATTGTTTTGTTATTGATGTTGTGTTGCTTCATTGTTTTCCTGTACAATTTTGTGACAGCCTTAGCAATTATAGAACCCAACCTAGGAATCCTTCGTAACATCACTAGCAATTCAAGTTAGATAAATTCCTGTCAATAACCCAGGGGAAAAAAAAAAGTTCTCTTCTGAAGAATGTCCTCCATTTATATTACTAAAAATGATATTTATAATGTTCTCCTGTATAAACAGTTTGACAGTTACCAATACTCTCCACCTTCCAATGTAGTAAACCACTAGTAGTAATGCTGGTGAAAACAGTTTGTATTTATTTTGTATAATTTTCCTTTAGGTAAGATCTTATATTTAATTAGAAGTCTAATGCTAAATACTAATTTATGCATTTGCTAATTTGTTGACCGTTACAAATACTCTGAAAAAAAAAACTAAAATATTTGGGCACATTTGAAAAATTACATTTATTTATTTATTTATTTTTTTTAAAGATTTTATTTATTTATTTGAGAGAGAGCACATGAGAGGGGGGAGGGTCAGAGGGAGAAGCAGACCCCCTGCCGAGCAGGGAGCCCGATGTGGGACTCGATCCCAGGACTCCAGGATCATGACCTGAGCCAAAGGCAGTCGCTTAACCAACTGAGCCACCCAGGCGCCCGAAAAATTACATTTATTTTTTAGGTCTTTTTTTTTTTTGCTATAATAAACTGAGTAATATAAATATGCTTCAATTGGCACATAATCAATGAACTAGAATAATGCCAAGCATTAAGTTTTATGTGCAAATTGAATTACATTCGGCAAATCCACATTGAAAATATTTTTTA